CCTAAGAGCCATTGATGTGCCATCCAGCAGCTGTCTCTGCTCCCCCAGCCCCCACCTCTAAAAAATCCCCGAGAACCGTAGCAGGAATTGAAGCTTTCGAAGTCATCAATGACAATTTTGTTTAATCTTTTAAAATCTGTCACTTCAAAAAAGAAAAAAAAACCCTAATGGTTTTCTAATAAAAATAGCAATGACTATAATTCACAGATGGTTTAATTTTACAGGAGTCAGAATGACATTAACATTTTAATCTCAGATCAGAACACTCTGCATCCAGAGAGTGCACAGGGAGAGGGCTCAGTAGGAGAATGTTTTAACCTCTCCTCCTCTCTGGTTGTGAGAAACATTGTTTGATAAGAGAATGCAACCAAAATAAAAAATGTAGGTGATTGGAACATTTGGTTGCATTCAAATGAATCCTAACTTATTGGATTTGGTATAGCACACTAAGGCACGGGTGACAGAGTAACTTGACGTGAATTCATTCCACAGAAAAAATTCAAATGGCCAACAATTTTCTCCTGGTCAATGACATTAATAGACAATAAAAATATAGAATCCTTGTGATCTTGTCTGGGTTTTCCTGGTTAAAAAGATTCCTAGATTTGTGTCCCAGTAATCCTTAGCCTGAATGATAGCAGAGGACTTAAGACTACAATGTGTTATTCAAAATAGTTTCTGACAAAGAAATCCAAAATACTACTAAATGACACATCTCATTCTTTAAGGAAAGAAGAAGCATTTACTATAAACATGACGTCTCTAAAAGACCAGCAAAGTCAAACAAATGTTAACACTTCTGATGAGTATCTCCAAATACTGCCAATCCACAAATAAATTACACGGTAAAATATATGTATATATAAAGAGTGAATGAATGAATGAATGAATGAATCGCCCGTTGGATAAGTGTAAGGTATACCCAAGTAGCTGAATGAAGAATTATTTAATCCATCTGAATGTGATGGCAGCACAATACCCAGCCATGCCCACAAAGTCTTCAGCTGTCCCTTAGCAGGACATTTGTCATGTAGATTCAGGCTTCTGTCCCCTCCTCCTCCCACTGAATCCAAAGCCCAGAAGCCTCCCTCATTTACAAAGCCTTTGGTTTTACCTCTGGAGAATTTTCATGGGCATAACTATACCAGAGCCTCAGCAGGAGCTTTGGGAGCTGGTCTATCCCTCTGGCTCCCAGAGGAGCGTCCGCCTGTCTAGCAGCACACCTTCCCCTCACACGCCCTGTGCCTCATGTTCCCACCCAGCTCCTCCCTTGCCATTGTCCCAATCCATGGATCTCAGGAAGGACTCCTTTTATCCTGCCCGCAAGACATGCAGATCTGCTGTGTGAAGCGCTCAGACCACTTTAACGACCCACCTTTGGGTCCTGTGAAATCTCTAATACATTGTGAAAAAAACCTACTGCATCCATATTTACGCCCCTTCTAAGTTAGCCTCCATATGTGAACCGAAAACTGGACGTTCCTGAAAATACTCTGTTAGGGAGGTTTCACTTTTTCTCACTTCCTTTGTCTCAGTGGGGGAGCAGGGCTAGCTGACTCATGGCTCCCCAGCCTTCTGTCTTACGTCTATACCATTTGTAGACCATTTTCACCCCACTTTTCTTTTATCGCCCCCATCATTTGTTCTATCACCTGCTGGCTGCCATAACTTATCTCCAGTTTGCTGAATGACTTAGGGTCTGGCTTATGTTTTCATTGACCATCATAACTTATTTTCATCCTTGAAGACATTATCATCCATTGCGATGACTCATCTTCTTATACCAGGACTTCACAATTCCTTATGTTCTGTTTCTAATCTGAATCCACCCTCCCCACATCCCTACCACTTGTGAAGTTCAAGAATATAATATATCTTCATATTCTTCAGGAGATGTAAATGTATGTGCATAATGGCAAATATGCAATGCAATATAATAAGAGAAATAAGGAATCATTCATTGGGTGTTCTGGGAACACAAGTGAAAGTCATCAAAGGCCTACTAGAAGTGGACAAGTGGGTCTCAAAAATCTAATAATGGAAGTGGGGCTTGATTTCGGTCATGAAGGTTAAATAAGAGTTGGCCAACACACAAGCAACAGTGGTAAGATCTTCCAAATCCAAATTGTTGATGACATTATATTGTCCCACTTCACCAAGTACCTCCAAGAGCCAAGCCCAACAACCCATTCTTCAGATGGTTTTAAGAAGGAACTTTATAAATTTCGAATACAATTTCAAAAGTCATTTTTATGAAATTTAGCTGGGATCCTCTTTAAATCTTCCAGTGGATCCACATTGTTCATAGAAGAATGTCCAGGTTTTCCTGGAATACTCTTCACGGTGTGGCCGCTGGTTACACGTGTGGCCTCTTCCCTCATCACTGCAGCTGCGCCCCAACATAGTTTTCTGCCCCTTGCTGTTCACAGGCTGCTTTTTCTGTCCCACATTTATCTTCTCGCTCTATCCCTCGACACCCTGGAGAATTCCTGCCCATCCTTCAAGACTACATGGCTGAGGTAACTTGCTTCTCAGTGAATCCTACCTGACCCCAACTTGATCACCTCTTCCTCTTTGGTGTCCCTTAGACATAACTCTGTCATCTTTGCTCACTGCTGATCTTCCCCAGAAGCTTCTCTTTGAGGACAGTATCCTCCTTTGTATCCTCGGCATCCAGCGCAACTCTCGAGCTAAACCTACTTTGGTGTTTTGAATGGCTGTTAGGAATGTCACTCTAGGAGATCTTTTTCATCCTGTTCAAGTCCCTTCTTGTCCAGCCAGGGTCCCCAGTTAATTAAGAGAGTGGAACTGGAATCCAGTTGTCTTAGCTCCATTCCATAGGTCTTTTCCCTACGTCGAGCGCCCCCCGTAGATGAGTTCCCCTAGCAATCATCACCGACTCCACCCATTGGGCCGTATTGCTGGCTATCCTATCACTCTTCTAGACTTGTATTTTGGGACAGAGGTTTGCATGCATTTTGCCTTTGGGATTCAGTTTCCCACAATGAGTTGCATACCACAGTCAGTGATGAACAGAAAGATGCCATGCCCCCTCCTTCCCAGGGCCTGTCTCACAGATTTGTTCCGCAGCGCTCACAGACAGTACCAACTGTTCTTCCTGTTGGCTGCCAAAATAAGTCAGCAGTTGGGAAGGGGGGAAAAAAAAGACTATGAATTATGGAAAATAACTAGGGAGAGAGAATGGCAATACAATGGGAAAAAGTAACAACTCTTTGTAGCCCCCCACCCAGGTGACTGTCTCAAATTTCAGCAAACTACCAGAAAACTAAACAAAGAACAGCATCCAGTCAAGCAGGAGCCTCTGAGACAGGCCAGTCGTTGAAAACGTTCCCGGCTGATCTGACTCACCAGCCTGACCGCCATCATGCAAGACTCAGGCCCCAGTCTCTTGCACAACCCCGTGTTTCATTAAGACAGCAGATCACACGGCAAAAGGGGCAGCTAGATGGAAGGATGGGGAGTGACAACATATGTTGGGAATAAACTCAGTTTCCATACGAAAAGGTTCGTAAACCACCTCTAGCCAAGCATTCCGGAGACAAGTCTGACCTATAAACCCTTCCAGTGCCTAATGGGCTGTGCATACAGGCAAGCTTCGGGTGTCATTATGATGTATGCTGGAGCAGAGGGGTGCTAGCATTTTAACGTCCCCAGCTCATGCTTGGGAGCACACGTGTTAGTCTTGTCATCCTGGTGGCGTTTGTCTCAAGTGCTAAGAATATGATCATGAACCTATCACGAGGTGTGCCTGAGCAGTATTTTTTCTCAGTCTCACAGAATATCACCTCAGAGCTCCCCCAGCACCTCATGTTAGTATTTAGTATTTACCAGGCTCTCCTGCAACTCCTTCTGCCTGCTTCCCCTCAGAGCCTCCGAGAATTTACATCGCGAAGGGCATTCCTCGCACCTACCCCAGTTCTGTGAATTCTTAGAAAATACGCACAACACACAAGAAAAACTACTTTAAAAATGCATGGATGTGGTTTATTGTCTGTGGCTTTAAGACTTTCCTTTGGCAGTTGTCTTCCTCAGGAGCAGTGCGTCTGCACCAGCTCGCACACCACTGTAGCTTTTGTAGAAGCTGCTTTGGTAACACGCTTTTTAAAAATGCTGCAGAGAAATGGTCATTGCATTTCTGTTTACACCATCATCTAGACGACTGTTGCTCATAGATGACTTTGTTAAGACTTTTTACTTTTGGGGGTGCCCGGGTGGCTCAGATGGTTAAGCGTCTGCCTTCGGCTCAGGTCATGATCCCAGGGTCCTGGGATCGAGTCCCTCATCGGGCTCCCTGCTCCTTGGGAGCCTGCTTCTCCCTCTGCTTCTCTCTCTCTCTCTCTCTCCTTCTGTCTCTCATGAATAAATAAATAAAATCTTTAAAAAAAGAAAAAAAAAAGACTTTTTACTTTTGGGCCGCAGCTCTATAACTGTGGTTGTATAAACATTCAGTTTATAATAACATACAGTGTAGTGGAGGAAAAAATAATGGAAATGAAACAATTTTGTGTGTCAGCTTGATGGGGTTTGTTGGTCTTTTTGTTTTATTGTTTTCCTTTTCATAGACTCAACCTCCCTGCTTTGAGTTGAGGAAAGAAAAGAATCACAAAGGGAGGAGAGGGGTCTAGCTCTGCAGTGTGAGTGCTCGTCGATGGGGAGGGTCTTACCTTCTGGTGGAGTCGAGGCCTGTGTTTCTCCTTGGCCCCGCACGGTGTAGCCACTACAACTCTCGTGTGTGGGCATTTGCAAACATTAATGACAATGTGTGCACACAGCAAACACACTTGTTAGAAGGAAAACCTCTGGGATTGCGAGTAAACGTAATAGTATTTTAAAAAATTAAGGAAAATGTACTGGAATTAATTTTGTTAGCTTTGTTTCTTCTAATCCTCCTCTGGAAAAATCTCTTGCCCGACTGTTTTCCCATCATCATTTTTGGCATCTTCGTGCTGTTTAGTGTCTCCCTGCTGTTTGTGTTTTAGATGGGAGTCCGAAAAGTGTTTCTAAAATACTGGCATGCCGACCAGCTCAATGATTTGTGCCTGCAGCGGCAGAGAAAAATTATAACCTGCCAAAAAGGTAACAATTACACACTCACCTTTCCGAACCTCTTTGAGTTATGAAATACAAAATCATTTAGTGCACCCCTGAGTCGAAGTGTCAGTGGGACCTACACTCCAGTGGACAAGGACACGACGTGTGGACAGTGTCCGGGAGCTGAGCCAGCCCCGTGGTTCCGTTTGCTCCTTACCTGACTCTAAATCAGCATATGCTCGTTCTGCTCATACCGGATCTGGTAGTCATTCCACCTGAAATTTTACGTCAAATTTTCACCTCACGCACAGTTTGGAAGAGGGAAAATTCGTATCTTAGAATTTACACAGCCACCACCTCGCAAATATTCACGCTTGCTGATCTGTTCAGAAAGCACAGGGCAGGAAGATGTACCTTTGAATCCTAGGTGGGAACCCCCGCCCACCACCACCACCACCACCACCACGTGGCACCGAGGTGTAGCTAGGAGCCAGAAATAGGCCATTTCGGTCAGCGTCAGTGGGACGCTGGGATTTTATGTAATCCTACACGTGCCTTGGGAAAATCCTTGACTCTTACCTTTCCTTTATGAAGTGACAATAATATCGGAGTATTATCTCTGATAGCAGACAGCTATTTTAGCGTTGGGAGAGATTCCGTGTAGAACTTTTTCCCTATAAAAACCCAAGTGACCATTGAAAATGGGTACATTTAAAAAAATTGTAACTATGCCTCCCATAAAATATATATATATATACACTTAATAACATTAATTTTTAATTTGCTTAGTGATTTGATTATATTATATATCATAAATACAATATTTAAAGGAAGGTAAAAGAAGGAGATATTACAAAGGCTAGTTTTGGGGAAACCTGTTGTAATGAGCTTAGCTCTCCGATATCTCCGGAAATGTTAAATACAAGCACAGCTCGTGGAATGCAAAAAAAAAATCAGTTTTATTCTGTTGAAGCCTCTGTCCGTGGAGCCCCTGCGTAAAATATCCAAGGGGGCCCCATTGTTTTCTGATGATAAAAAGCCCTGCTACATGCTGGTCCCTCAAACTGTCTCCATCAGAATTTTACAGGTCCAGTCCAAGAAATGCTCAGAATTCAGAATTACCTTCCAAGTTAAACCATCCCTCTTGGCCACCGCAGACCCCGCGGGTGGGGCCTGGGCATGGCTCTCACCCTGTCCACACAGGTGTGTGCAGACCCCTAGGGCTGGCGACAGAGAGGGAAGAAGAGGGGGCGGGGCAGCTCTTCTGTCTGACTGGCACCTGTGTAGTCTGGCATTGGGCTTCTCTGACAGGGCTGCAGGTGTTCAAAGGCTCTTCGCTACGCGGGAGCACATCAGCAGGATCCTTGGCACTGCGCACCTGAGAGGTGGCCTGACCTCTCCTTGGGACAGTACTTGTAATAGCCTCTGGGACCCCCACAGGCGTGCTGGCCTTGGTGCTCTCAAATAAGCCCCTTTCAATGACTCCAAGCAGGTGTCTAGTGCCCGAGAAACACAGTGTGGGACGCTGGCATGTTCCACCGTGTCCTCCAGACTCCACAGTCACATGGCTGGTTCTCCGCGTGGACTCCTGAAGCCACTTTCACCAGCCTGGAGGTCAGCAGTGGCGTGGGGAGGCTCGGGTGATGGAGGCAGTCCACCCCAACTCTAGGCAACTTTTGCCCCTCTCTGGGTTATGACAGTCTGGTCTCCTTAACTTCATCCTTCATCCACGTAGTGAGAGGCTGGGGTCCCAGGTCAGTTTGCACCACTGCCTTTTCAATTCTTATCCGTGGGCTCAGCCCCACCAACTGCTGTGCCCTGTGAGCACCTGCAGCATCAGCATCACCTGGCAGCCAGTTAGAAATGCAGAGTCTCAGGCCCCCACCACCTCCAGATTCAGTATCTGCACTTGCAGCCTCAGCTGGACCTGGGATGGGGGACCCTATTGCCAAGACCAGTGCCCTCACCCTTGAGCTATGGAGCCAATGGAGAATCCCATTTACCATCATGTTATCCACACATAGAATGGGATCTCAAATTCCCTTGGAAATTTTCCTTCAATACAATGAAAAGAACGTGTACCCCTTCTTCATTCAGGGATGCTCACTAGAAACGTCTCCTGTATTTAATGACAAAGATTAAGCTGACCCTACTGACCTGAAAGGGAAGAAACAAGCAGAGCTCTAGGTATTCCTTCATGTTTAAAGATAAAAATTGAGACAGGTCTCAAAAAAATGGCATCACAATAAAAACCATAATTTCAGATTGCATAAATGAAATAATGGATATAAAAGTTCTTTAAAATTACAGGCTCTTAAATGCAAAGCATTAATTATTGATTTTTATTTTTACATCTCTTGGAACAGTCCCTTCAGTACTTTTTGCCTGTGTGAAATTTACTCAACATTTATATAATCTGGAGTTATTTCCCCATTTTTCTAGGGTTCTCATTTTTCCTTCGTACATGTTGTGGGGGGCGGGGGAGAAAGCTGTAACTTTAAGCATTTTAATAGTCAGTGACTCCTAATGGAATTTTCTGCCTGACCCTACATGTTCATTTTGTCCTGGATGAAAACTGTCTAAAATCTCAATGCTGGAAATGTCAGGAAAGCCAACTTTTAACTTGTCTGAAAGAGAACAAGTATCGGTTATTGATTATGGCAAATTTATTTTTACTAGTTGCCTCTTATTAAGGAAAGCCAGTTTTAGCAGCCGGTATATCATTTTTAAGGGAGGTTTAAAGGCTGCCAGGATGAAGTGTGAGAAGACAGAATCCCCAGATGCGGGACAGCAGGCCCCGGTGAATGGACATGCGGTGAATAGCTCTGCTCTGATGGGGTCAAAAGAAGTCTCCCATGGCCACATTAATCTTCCCTTTATTCCAAAAGATTAAACATCTTGACTATACCCTCACCTTCACCCTTCCAAAAGTCAATGTCTCAATTTTTTTTTTTTTTAATGTAATAGGAACGAGCTAGCAGACAGACCAATTTGAGCTTTCTGTTTCTGTCTCAGTTGCCCACCGCCTGGTTAACACTTCTGCCTTTTATGCTGTACTTTATATTCCTGGAAGTCTGATTGTACCTTTCACTGTTCAATTTTTTTTCCCCTTTAGATTAGTTCAGCATGACTGTTTTATAGTGAACTTAATACAACTGCATTCCAAAGTAACTAAACATTTAGTATTGCCATTTGGAAAAAAAAAAAAAGCCTTAAGCATTTTAGATGTCTGCATATTATTTGCCTCTGGAGCCGTAATTGTGGAAAGTTGTGTTCAGCTTTCCACCTTCTAATCAAGTAAAGGCATCAAAATGAATATCCTAGATAAGCCGCACATTTTTTCTTCTATAGCCAGGGAGTATTTTAAAGCACTTAATGCTTTACAGACCTTCCCCCCGCCCACGCACACACTATAAACAAAAACAAAGTGTCTTTGCTACACACATTGGTTTTTCCCTGAAATTATAGATCTTAGAATTCCAGCAATTCCTTCTAACCTTAGAAACTTGGAATGGGAAGGGGCAGCGTCCTAGGGTCAAAAGTCCCACCTGGGAATTTACACCTGTTCACAGTATCCAGAAGGGGCTATTTACCCTCTCGGACATGCTGACTCCCTCTCTCAGGAGCCGGCCTGATCCGTTTACACCCTGTGCTCATTGTTTGAAAGTTCTTCTTCACATTGATCACAAATATGCTTCCCTGTGACTTCTCCGTTGGTGACCTGCTCTCTGGAGAGCTAAGGTAGCATCTGGGTGGCCTGGGGTAAGGGAATCAGTTTGGCTGCATAAGCATGGACATTTGAAACCTGGCTCTACCATTCATTGGCTGTGTTTACCTGGAGGAATTTTCTTAGCTTTACTAAGCTTCTCTTTCTCCAGGTGCAAAATGGAGATAAGGGTTTATGAATTATGATTGAGTGTTGGCATGAAGGGATAGAGTGCCTGACACATGGAAATGCCTTTAAATGGTGGGCATTATTATTTCTGTTTTCAAGTCTTACCATTTGTTACTGACATATTAGCGATTTCAAAGCATGTTCACTCATGTAGTTCTCCCAATTCTTACACATTTTTCTAGCTAGCGCCATTTCTCTGGAGAGCAGGAAGGATGTCCTAAATTCACACACAATCTCTTTCCAGAGTCTTAAATGCACTGTTCGTTTTTTTAGGAGTTAAATCATAGTCTTATTAACAATATGTGCATGTTTTTGAAGACAACTTCCACAAGCCTCAGCCATTTCTGTTTTACTTGGATATAATGAGAGAGGAGCAGTGCATCCTAAAATGGTCCAGTTGGAGCTACACTGCAGAATTCTCTGGGATTTAGACCTGGTTCCTCCCTACTGATTTTCATCCAGTCCGTCTCGTCCAGCTGTGTTACAAAAAGAAGTGTGGATGTCTCATTTCTTAGGTTACAGATTTTGCCTCTTCGGTGTTACCATTGCTGAATTTAGATACCTTTTCAGATACGAGATTAGAAGGTTTTGTAAATTCTTATTCTGAGTTAAATGCATCTTATGTTATGGCTGCTGAGACATCAGTGTGTTGTGACCTGTTTGTGTGTCTGGGGTTTCGCTTCCGCTCCTCTCACTGACCCATGATTGTGTTCTTTTATGAAAGTTGTAAGAGGATTTCTAGCACGCCAGCACTTGATTCAGAAAAGGAGCATCAGACAGCAAGAGGTCACATCCATCAACAGCTTCCTGCAGATTACAGAGGACATGGGGCTGAAGACCTACGATGCCCTGGTCATTCAGAACGCTTCTGACATTGCCCGTGAAAATGACCGGCTGCGGAACGAAATGAATGCTACTTACCATAAGGAGAAGGTGGAGGCCAGACACAAGCCAGAGGAGGGAACCAAAAGGTAAAGGCAGATAGTATGCAACTTTAATTACCTTTGTCATTGATCCAGTGGAGTCAAGAAAATCCCGGTAGTGCTTAATGCAGGGTTCACTCAAATCTGACGGTGGCTACGGGAACGAGCATGGATGTGCGCATGGCTTGCTACTTGAAACCTCCGAGCAATCTAAAAGGGTCCCTTCTTGCGCTCTCTTTTCACGCAATACATGCTCTGTGTTAGTTTCTCCATATGAAACGTTATGGCTTCCCCTACGTGCTGCATCGCTTACCATCTCAAGGCCAGAGTTTTAAGGCAGCTCATATTTCTGTCTTAGCAAAAACATACATCTGGGTTCTTGACATATTTATACAAGTATTATGTATATGAGGGTGACTCATAGAAACTTCTGGAAGTCTGACCCAAACAATGGAGAAGCCACTCTGAAAACAGAGAAGTGGTGAAATCGATGTTTTGTACATATACTATTTCCCTTAGTAATTTCTCACTGTTTCTTCGCCAATAGGGCAAGTTTTGGGGAAACGCATTTCATTTTAAAGTTCGCTTTGAATGCTGAGCTTGGGATAGAAATGCGGAGGCGACCTGGTACTTCTCCATCTTATCAGTCTCGCCTCTCTGTGAAGCATGGGGACACCCCTGATCCTCAGCACCCCACCCGGGAGGGCAGGGACCTGGGTCCTCACTCGACGTCAGGCAGGTGTTTGTTTTTCCATAGGAACTTGGCGTTAGCTGGTCGTTTCTCACTGAAAATGACTCCCCTTTGCCTCAACTGCCGGTGTCCAATGATTTTTTATTAAAGATGAAATGGTGATGTGTCTCTCGCTAATTAGCTTCAACTATCTCTCCGTGATTAAATACTGAAGAAATTCCCTTTGTACGAAAAACTGTAATTAAACATTACAGGGAAAACAAATTATTCACTGAGCGCCCTGCTTTCATCTCTGGCTAGTTCATTTTCTACATGGGTGTCTGGCTCTGCCTCGTGGTAGATCCCAGCCCGGCTGGGGCTCCGCCACACAAAGATATAATTACACAAACAAATGCTCGGAGACTCCTTGTGAAATGAACGCATTGGCATCTCACTAGTACATGATTACATTGACATGTGAAGCCAGAAGGGATTTTTTTTTTAACCAGATAACTATTAATTTTATCTGACTTCCAGAATAGTATTTATTATTTTCACTGCTGGAACTAAACAGCCACCCCAATTTCCCAATTTGATTATGTATTCGTTTGCCTGATATAAAATTAAGTGAAGAAGTCTTTTTCTATGTATTTGTTGAATACCAGCAGTTCGCTTGGCATTGCACAACCAGATGGGGTAAGAGAACAAAAATAATAATTCTGCACATCATTAAATATTGCTCGTGGGGTTTAAATTGCAAGGAGAAAAGGGGAGAGAGAGAGAGAGGTGTAAATCTTTGATAGTTTTAAGTCAAGTACATACTCTTTGGCAATGGGAGATGGTGATGAACTCCCAGCATTTGATGCATCAGTAACTCTGTATTAAGATGGATTTCCCAGAAATTATCATTCAGATTGAAATTCTGGTTTCTTGATTTGCTTAATAATCAGAGTGTGAAAAATTCATTCAGTGAATGCCTGATAGAAAATGTGGCACTCCTTAAGCAGTGCTGCGTTTGTGTGAGATTCTTAAAAAGTCACCATGATGAATCTCCATCGTGCTCATTTATCAGAGAGCAGGGGCCAGAAGGACGGGCAGCGCTCTCTGGATGCACCCGTTTCCAGAGCGCTACACACGCATCCTCCAGCCGCGGCGGGGAAGGCTCTTTACCAAAAAGCCGTGATTATGTCTGCTTGAGCGGGTTCATTGTGACCGTCTGAATAATGCATCTGGGCCCCTCTGGTGGGGTGCTGTTTGTGTTTTGTTCCCCCAAGAGTCGAAGACAAGTGTGGACCCAGGCATTTCCACTACAGCTCCGTCCCGGTCCCCATGGCGGTGGATGGCCTGATCCAGTCTCTGGCTGGCCCATCCACCCGGTCTCCTTCTCTGCACTCGGTGTCCAGCCTGGATGACAGCAGTGGCCTCCCCTCACCACGGAAACAGCCTCCGCCCAAGCCAAAGAGGGACCCCACCACGCGGCTGAGCGCATCCTATGAGGCCGTGAGCGCCTGCCTGTGGGCAGTGGCCAGGGAGTCTGCCAGTGAAGGTCAGCAGAGGGAAGGAGGGGGGCGCTGGTCGGGGCCCCGATGCTCTGCCTCCCCGTGTCTGAATGACCCCAGCAGTATCGTTGTCCTAATCTATTTAGGTCCAGTTGTTGGCTTACCAGCAGCTCTTTCACCATTAAATATAAATCCTATGTATTCAGTTCTCTGAGGGTGTTAGGGAAAAGCACGTTGTATGACATTTCCTTACCTCCTGTCCCCACGTCAGCATCATCAGTGCGGGCGAGGGCCTCTGACCAGAGCACATCAGAGTGTTCGTCCTTGGCCAGGGAAGTGTTCACTGGTCAAAGCCTAAAAAATTTCATCGGGCATCCCTATTGTCACCGTCTGATTAAAAACCAAGCCTGCTTTATCATGGGGAAAGTGCAATATTCAGGCAGAGGAGACTCACACCACAACAAAATCCAGTCAGCAGAACTTTGGGGTCTAGCTGAGGGAAGTTTCTGCATTGGCGGCCTAGAAATATTTAGGCAGAAAAGGGGGAAGACAGAGTCTTCTCTCCATGACATCTCTCATCGACTAGTACGTGTGACCATTATCACTGAATTATTCATTTTTCAAAGAGTGAACAATAGAGGCAGGACACCTTGGCAGAGCAGGTACCGATTCCAGGGTTATGTATCACCTACCCACAGGTAGGCCCCATCGTGGGCCCTAGGGGATACATTTTAGATAAAACAAATGGGATCATCTTTCCTTGTGGGGTCCCCGTTCTCGTGTGGGAAAACAGATGCTCGACACGGAACACAAGTCAGTACATGAAGTATTTTAGCAGATCATGGCTGCAGAGAAACGTACGCAGGGTGAGAGGTGGTAGTGCAGGGCAGGGGGTGAAACTCTACATGGAATGGCGTGTAGGTTCCACTAGAAAGTTCTACCCGAACATGGGACAGATCACAATTCCCTCCATAAGCAAATGAGCCAGGAATACAAAAGCGCGGCAAAGCCACACGCTCATCTGTGGGAGAAGATGTGTGATACCACGGGGTCGGGGGAAAGCCCATGGCTCAGGGGCCACGAGCAATGAGAAGGCCCCAGCTACCTGCAAAGATGCTTCTTATTGGTCACCAAAAGAAAGAATGGATTTTTAAGAGAATATTTATTAAAAAAAAAAAAAAAGGCCATTACTATTGTAATGTTTGAGTTACGTCTTGATAATACAGAGATGTAGGAAATGTAGGAGAAATTCCTGAGTTTGGGGAGAAGGGTGCAAGTGTGTTTCTGACGTCATGGCAGCAAAAACAGCCGTGAAAGGTGAAAATGGGGTTAGGGAAATCTCGGGAGGACAGGCTTTGGTGGCCATAGATGTGAGCGTAGACCCAGTGTTAGAGCAGGGTCTGGAGGAGATGGGGGCCTCCTCCGATGCACCACACCGACCACAAGAGGCTGTAGAACAGATCATAAACACGCTCCCGGGGCAAGGGGATACATCCCATTTCCAGCCCTACTTTTGGACCTCTGCCCAGGATTTATGGTAGAGAGCTCAAAAAAGTGTGCTGAAGGAAGCTCCCTTTGGCTTATTGGAAGAAGAAGAAGAACGGCATCCAACAGGCTAACCCTGATGAGATGCGGAGCATGTGGAATAGACCCAGGATAGCGTCAGAAGCTGGAAAAACAGGAAACAAGATTGAACATTGGCAGCCTATGGAAGGTGGTTCCCTGTCCTGATTTGAATGCTGCACACGGGCTCTATAGATTTGAGGAAGTCGGCCCCAGAATAGTCCGTAGCACCTAAAAACTCCTGTGTGTGTCCGTTCCAAAACCATCTGCCCTGGACTTGAGATCCTGGAGTAGTCAGGTGGTGCCAACTAGTCACGTCATTGGGAAGGGAGAGAAGGTATTGGGGATGACGTCAAAACACGTCCATTAAGAAAAAGTGACTGGAGAACCATAGGAGAGAAAATATATATATATAAGCAGATGACAAGGAATTGCCACTCCTGTGAGGAGTCACCAGGCTCTTCAGTCTCGCTGTTTAAAATACATGATGTGATACCATTAGAGTTCCAAGACTTACAGGAAAAACTTAAGTTCTTGGAACCTAATTTCAGCAGGCATGCAGCCGAGGTGCTTGTCGGGGTCTCCCCCACTGATCGCACCCCATGAACTCAGATTTTGGAGGCCAGCCCCGAAGGTGGTGCTTTGATTGCTGTCTACATAATGTGTCCTTTCTTACAAGATTCCTCACATGGACTCTGCACCCACCACCACATCTCCTGCCGCTGGAGATGAATTCCTCCATCGAAGCTGCTGATCCGATCAAGCAGGTGTGCCCACTGCTCTTGCAGCACGTATAGCATCAGGAGTCGGGGGCCAGTGGGGGTCTGGTCACCAGGATTTCCAATCCATAACTGCAAGGTGGCGACACCCTCCTGAGATAAACCCACTACGCACAGGGGCTCTGGCCCTGTTTATGCCTTTGTGACATATTATGCTGAGGTGTCCAGGACGGAAGCCACTAGCCATGTCTGGCTATTGACATTGAACTTCAAATTAAGTGAAATTTAGAACTCAGTTCCTCAGTCATTAGTGACACTGCAGGGGTGTGGAATCTCCAAACATCGCAGAAAATTCTGTCACACAGCATTGATTCTACACACTTGTACCCCGAGGACAATGCTGAGTTTTTTGCGCCCCATAGTATGTCACAAAACTGTCCTCCTTCTGCAGAAGATAGGAGGAAGCTCGGATTGCTATTTAAAAAGCTCTGTCAGCCTTGGTTTCCTAAGAACAAGGACCACAAACAACCCAGTCGGTTTCTAACCTGAGCCATTCCTTATAGCTTCTTAAAAAATCAAGTTCAGATTTTCTTCTTTTATGTGGAAAGCTGCTGATGCATCTCCGAAGGTTATGTAGTGAAGGGAGGTTTGATTAGAGAAGGAGAGCCAAGAATCTTAGAGAAATCAATGATTAGGTCACATTAAGCCTTGTGCCCATCCCTTTCCCATAGATTTTCATCCAGCAAACTCGGCCATGATAAAGACGGGCAGTGGAGAGAGCTCATTTTTTTCACCGCCTTCGTGCTTGAAAAGCATGAAGCAATTTTATGAGCCAGTAAATGTTGACACTTGTGTGCAAACTATTAGCAAGCCAGGGCCAACTCTTTGAGAATAGAATTGACCCTTGAGCAACACAGGCTGGAACTGTGTGGGTCCACTTATACATGGACTGTTTCTGAATACAGTACAATACTGTAAACATAGTTTCTCTTTCCTTTGATTTTCTGAATAACGTTTTCTTTTCTCTAGCTTACTTTATTGTAAAGATACAGTATATAATACATATGCAAAATACAAAATACGTGTTCATGGACTGTTGGTGTTATCGGTAAGGCTTCTGCAACAGCAGGCTATTGGTAGTAGAGTTTGGGGAGCATCAAAAGTTACAGGCAGATTTTCAACTGCAAGAGGGGTGGGCACCCCTAACCTTTGCATTGTTCAAGGGTCACCTGTGCTATTTTTCAAAAGTCTGGGGTTGGTCTTTGCCAACAGTGACTAGGGGCAGGAAGAACAGGGCTTCTCCTTCTCCTTGCTAGAAGGTTCCCCAGCTCCCAGCTTGTGCACCCCTCTGGAGACTTGATTCTCTAAGCCCACGGTGCAGACTTGCTCCCAGACACGGGGTAACTGGATGGGGAGATTACGAGAGACAGATTTTGTTCTAGCAGCCCTTGCCTCCCCCCTTTACTCTCCTGTCATGTAATCCCCACACCCACCACCCCTTCAGACTCCAGCAGCCCATTCCTTAGAAATAATACCTTGTGGAATCCATAATTTTTAAAAATAAATTGCTGTATAACTCCATTCTCAATAAGACCATTTATATACATAGATACAAGAATAGTTCCTCTCTGTGGCTTAATTTGGAAATAACATTCCATTTCTTTTCTTTCTTCATGGTCTGGTTTTTATCTTTAGAATAGCCCTTGGCACATAGTAGGCACTCAATAAATACTTATTGAACAAATGCATGTTCTATAAATATATTTCTTTGTACTTCTTCCATTAAAGTAGAATTTGATTCTTATCAGTAAATCAAAATGAGCACAATTTGGCCAGGTTCAAAATGTACCCTTGAGATTTGCTGGATTTGGCCTGTCAGTGTATTTCTCATAGAAGCCCTTGATTATATTTTTCTATTAGCTGAAATTTGACAGAAATTAGGTATTCCATGAACACCATCCTGAGAATATGTTACTGGATATAGAAGAATAGTACTGTTCTGTAGATGTTTCACAACTACGACACGTGACTCCATTCAACACATAGTAATTAAGTGTACTCCATGAGGCTGGCTCCTCCCAGAGGGCCACGGAGACCAGTGGGGGAGATAAATGGGCAAACAAATTACAAGATAAGCAGAGTAACAGCAAAGAGAGCAGATGGTGTGGAACACAGGGCAGGGGGGCTGACCCTTGTTGGAACCTGAGGAGGGGTTGAGAAGGACATCTCAGTGACATTACTCATGTGGGTGGGGTGAAGTCCAGTGGGTAAAGATAGGGTAACAGCAAATGTTATGGACTCCTCCCACCAAAAAAAAAAAAACACTGTAAGATCACAATATATCACAGCTCAGTGGAAGCCCTTTTTTTTTCCCCATTTGTAGCTGGTTGTACATCGATACTACATTCACTCATGTATGTAGCCGGTCCACCGGCCAGCTAGCCAGCATTCATTTGAGCATCCTGTACGTCTGACGCCCTGTGCTAATAAGCGTTAAGTTTGCTCTGAAACTAGGCAAAATCACACTGGAAGGATTGAAATACAATGGATACGTACACACACAGATAGAACTGTTTTCTTGATGAACAAGCTTCTTGTTCATTTCTTCTCATAGATTAAATATGTAGGTACCTGGTTTTCAGTGAGAATAGGGCCAAATAACTTGTGTCCTACTCAAAATGGTTACCTGAAAGCCATTTGACATACCTTAGCGAAACTTCAAAGGGCAGGTATTCTGTACAAGAACATTTTTATCTCCTAAGAGA